AGTAACTGTTTACGGTCGGCGCTAAACAAACTTTTCAATATCGAATCCAGATTCGACCGTTACTGATGACAGGTCGCGATTGATCTGGCAAATTGGTAGAAATAAAACTGTTCATCAATCAGTTTCGAGTAATTTTAGAATAGATATTAACGACGAGATACTCTCCTGGAACGTGGGATGGTTACTGGAACAGCATAACAGCGACGTGACTGCTCCTGTCAACTTTAACAAAACTTGCGTTCCGATTCCGTTGACTTTTAATGGTATAGAACATTACACGAAAGTGTCGACTCCTTTGTTGAACCTGGAACTGTGGCAGTATATCTACCAAATAATTTTCGAGAAGGCTTTTCGAGTCCGCTTCAAACATATGTAAAATTCGTCTTTTTTATTTTATCAAAAAATGTTTGCTTCAATAATTATTTTGTGGAAAATAATTTTTGTTCACCCAATATAAACGCACGACGCTTTTGTAAAAAAATTGATGCCTTATTTCGAACCGAATACATTCCAGAAATACTAATATAATTTTTTAGAAAAAAAAAAACATTTTTACAACACTTAATTGACTGGTATTTTACATTGGTATCTTAAAAAAAATTATAAACAATTAAGAACTAATTTACATAAAAAAAAATAATAAGTACAGTGCCACTTTTAAAAACTAAAAAATATATTATAATATCGTTTTGTTATTGTTTTGAAATCCATTCTTATTAACTTGAGGTAACTAATCAGTGTCCGTGCAAGTAAAATGTTCAAAAACTCATTCTAGCCCAAGCAATTAAATGCCAGGAATGAAAAATTAGAATAAAGCCACAAATTGGTATGTTATTTATAATAATCGATTATTTTCGATGAATCGATTAATTTCGATGAATCGATTATTTTCTACTAATCGATTATTTTCACTTAATCGTTTATTTCCGCTTAACCAATTTATTTTTTCAGATTAATCGAGATATCAATTATTTTCCATTAATCGGTTATTTTCAAATAATCAATTATTCAGAAAATCGATTATTTTCGATTAATCATTAAATTGATTAATTTCAAATAATCAGATAATAATATATTACTAGAGCACTACAGCAAGTTAGTTAATATTTCTAGTGGGTGTTTCGTTTATAAATTGCCCCTAAAAAAAATAAAAAATAGATTAATCGATTTTTTGAATTAATCATTCATTTTTGATTAATCGTTTATTTTAGATTTTTTAAAGATATATTCGATTTTGAGTAATTGAATAATGGAAATAATTTAACGACTAATTAATATAACAATCGATTTTAGAGAGCCTGGAAGCAATTGAAAGCGGTTTATCAGGACATAGAATTGTACCACATACCAATTTTTAGTATTATTCTAATGTTCCATTGTTAAATCTACTCGATTTCCCGGCCTATTCGACAAGTAATCATTATCAGGACACAGCAGCCCATACGTGCCAGTGTAACAGATCTGTCAAAACAGTTCACCGGTATATACGGCCCTATTGCCGTACCAAAATCTTCGCCGTACGTTCAGCCCTACAAAAAAGATTTAACCAGAAAAAGAAACACTAATAAAGACACCTCTTCAAGATCCATCCAGTTGTTTTTGTAGGTGAAAGATTAGTAGCAACTTCTGGAAGGATTTACAAGTTTTGTTATACGAGGATGTGCTGAAAAGTTCCTGGCTTTGGTACTAATCGAGTGAGACCCGTTGTAAACATTATTGCAGCATATTTAACTATTCTGTACCGTGCATACCAAGTCACAGAATCATACGTATTGGTGATGATTTTGCAGGAAAATACACCTGTCAATACTAAATTGTTGAATCACCCACGCTTTTTCTCAGACCTAGTTCTCTTAGAACCCGGTTCGACCACATTATTTGTTATGTAAATCCTGCAATTTTAAATCGTTTGGCCAAACCGTTTTCAAGATTTGTGTCAGTAGCAGGGAATTGTCTAGCCAGGAACAGGGCCATTTTGAATCGCATTATTGTTCATTGTATTGTTTCATGTATCGTTAATCAGACATTAAAATAAATCAGCAAAGTTAAGTAACATTTTTAATTTAGTTCACCTCATAATAAATATAATACAGTCCACTTTAATCACGAAAGGAGCACGGATGAAGAAATACCTAAAGAGTACCAAATTTGGTTCCAATTAGGAAGTGATCGCAGCGTTTTTGGAGTGACAACCATCCCACTTCTATTTGAAGGGGTTAGAAAAATGGAGAAGCATTAAGCTAAAAGTTGTTAGCTTGAGGATGAAGTACATTGAATAAAATGTGTTTCATATTTCACTGGCACGTATTGAATGTATTTTATAATCCACTTTATTTATTGAACATTATTGTATCATCCATTTAACAAAAGAGATTATATTTTCTTATATCATCAGATGTGTATACTTTGATGAGAATATTTAATGGCCACCAGATATATCTTTCGCTTTATTCACTGAATAATTTGTATCTCGGACTTTTAAAAGCTGGAACTTTTCAGCACATGAAAATAAACTAGTCACAACGAAATAGGTATCACTGAATTAATTATCTAAATCTTTTTAAATGTCCCCCGTATTTTCCATTAAAATTTATACAACTAACAAGCACACCTAAAGGGATATTTTCAATATATAAAAAAACAAAACTTTTTTATGGGAGGTGAGAAAAAAAATATATACGCAAAAAATTAAAAGTATCTGATACATTTAGTTTTACTTTGTACACCAATTAAATTGTTTGTAACATTAACAATTTACTTGAAATTATGAATAACGATGTTCTTGGAAGGCCTATTGTACAAAGAAGGCATCTAAGTGAAATTGAAGTAGCAAGAAGGACGTTCGCAAAGATACGTAGCCCGCTTGCTTCAAACAAGTCAACCAACGATTCACCGAATGTGGAATATATTTCAAGACATAGGTATTATCTGTAGAAGACCATATACACCACGAGAAAGAATAACTACGCCCCGACAGGACGGCCAAATTGTACGATTATCCCTACAAAATAGGACAAGAACAGCTACACAGATAAGAAACTTACATTTTCAGGCCACTGCTAGACGCATATCTCTACAGACTACACGTAACAGACTTCATGAAGCCCAACTACACTCAAGAAGTCAAGCTATTGTTCCTCATTTAACACCAGCTCATCGTAGAGCAAGAAGAAACTTTGCAGCAGAACATGTAAATTGGGATATTCATCAATGGAGCCATGTTCTTTTCACGGATGAATCAAGATTTTGCTTTTACTCCAACGATGGACGTGTGAGAGTCTGTAGACGCCGTGAAGAACGATTTTTGGATTGCAATGTAAGAGAAGTAAGAGCTTTTGGCGGTGGTTCTGTAATAGTTTGGGGAGGTATTCAATTGAACGGGCGTACACGCTTACATGATTTTGAAAATGGCACTCTAACAACTAGGCGTTATATCGATGAGATATTAGCACCTATTGTCGTTTCACTGGCTCATCCAGAAGGCCCTAATTTTGTTTTACAAGATAATGCAAGGCCCCACACTGCAAGAATTGTTCAAAACTTTATTGAAGAGGAAAATTTTACTGTAATGGAGTGGCCAGCCAACAGCCCTGACTTAAACCCCGTTGAACATCTTTGGAGCATCATGGGAAGAAGATTGCGGGATCAAGAACAGCCAAACAATCTACAGTTGCTAGCAGTACAACTTCAGGAGGAATGGAACAATATTCCTCAAGGAACGATTCGTCAACTAATAGAATCTATGCCTAGACGTTGTGTCGAAGTTTTAAGAGCCAGAGGAGGGCATACACATTATTAGTTTTTTTTAAGGTGAAGGGGGAGAAAACGTCCTTTATATCTCACAAGGAAAGTTAATGTTTAATTGTTCAGTAAAACATTGAGTGCGACCGGTTTCGAAGTATCATCACTTCATCTTCAGGCTCGCCTAGTGGAAAGGAGAATATGTGGTGTAAGGTGTGTTAACTTTGAGCCAACGATATATAAAATAGTAAAAAAGAAAACTCACCATACTCTCCATCCACTAGGGAACACTACAAACAAGTTTCATCAAATGTGGGGGATGAAATAAATTGTAAAATAAACAATGTTACAAGTTATATAAAAGTTAAAAATATTTGAAAAACAAATATTAAATAGTTAAAAATTTAAAATTTTCAAGACTATACAAAACAAAACACATACATTAAACAGATTAAAAGAGAAGGCTTATTTTAAACACATTGTTGTTTTTTAAAAAATAATTAGGGATTCCAACGACCTGTCAAACAATAGGTGCCAGTGGGAAATTCTTGTATATTTAAGGGGGTAGCGACATAATCTTGCAACTTGGACGCTATTTTTATTCGAAGTAGTACTCGCCAAGCCTGCCAATTTATGAAGAAATGTATAGGTGGGTTTTTTAAATATTATTTTTATTGTGTTTGACATAAAATATTTAAATGTAATCCATTACGTAAAATCATGAATAATGGATTACATTTAAATATTTTATGTCAAACACAATAAAAATAATATTTAAAAAACCCACCTATACATTTCTTCATAAATTGGCAGGCTTGGCGAGTACTACTTCGAATAAAAATAGCGTCCAAGTTGCAAGATTATGTCGCTACCCCCTTAAATATACAAGAATTTCCCACTGGCACCTATTGTTTGACAGGTCGTTGGAATGCCTAATTATTTTTTAAAAAACAACAATGTGTTTAAAATAAGCCTTCTCTTTTAATCTGTTTAATGTATGTGTTTTGTTTTGTATAGTCTTGAAAATTTTAAATTTTTAACTATTTAAACTGACTAATATTTGTTTTTCAAATATTTTTAACTTTTATATAACTTGTAACATTGTTTATTTTACAATTTATTTCATCGCCCACATTTGATGAAACTTGTTTGTAGTGTTCCCTAGTGGATGGAGAGTATGGTGAGTTTTCTTTTTTACTATTTTATATATCGTTGGCTCAAAGTTAACACACCTTACACCACATATTCTCCTTTCCACTAGGCGAGCCTAAAGATGAAGTGATGATACTTCGAAACCGGTCGCACTCAATGTTTTACTGAACAATTAAACATTAACTGTCCTTGTGAGATATAAAGGACTTTTTCTCCCCCTTCACCTTAAAATTACCTCAACTCACACATGTCTACCCCCCTTGTCAATTATTAGTTTTTGTTTATTTTGAAATTTTTTGATATTAATAAACAAGTGTTGTTATAATTTGCTTGATTTTTAACTTTATTAAATGTACGATAATGTTTAAAAATTAAAACTTACACACTCTTAAACACACATACCTAAACTATAAGAACACAAAATTTAATGTAAGTATCTCCTCTGATTTTGGAGTTATATCAATTTAAATAAGTGATACCTATTTCGTTTTGACTAGTTTATATAAAAAATGATTGTCTGGTCATCGTTGTTGGGTGCCACATTTACTGCCAGAGGCTCATAAAAACAGGCGAATAACAAAGGTATGCAAAACAATTGTTATTGATGATGAATCATAAAACACAAAAGTTAAAAAAATATCGGTAAAAAATTGATTTTTCTGTAAAAAAAAAAACGGTTGAACTTGCAAACCTAAAGATAGTTAATTCATGGAGGTATGTAACTTATATGCTCCTTAAGGCCTTCGTAACAATACCCCATCCTCTTTATTTGCTAGATTTGACCCCTGTGGTTCTTCTGTCTCTTACAGTAAAGACGATATAGTTAGTTGCCTATAACGAAATTATTATTAGTAAAATGGACAAACCTTGATGTAAATCACTTCAGAAGCTTCTGTAACGTCTTCAGACGCTGAAAACAAAACTGATTATGCCACTTGGATCTGGTGCATCGAAAAATATTAATTATTCTAGAATTTCCACCTATTTAGTTTCTGGCAATTGGCGAATGTTAGCTAGACAGCACATTTTTGAACAGTTTACACTCTAATCAATCAATCAACAACGATTCATTATCATCGATTATCAAAAATTTCACTCACAATAATTAATATGTAAAACGAAGTCTTGAATTTCTTGCAGTTTATGTTTTTTAGTTCTTCGACGACGACATTGGCCACGGCGGCAGCTGTTTTAGCTATCGTAACTCGAACTATTGTGATGGTCTGCGTGCGGGGATGGTGGCGTCGACAAGTTCGAACTATTATTGCTAGCGATAGAATGGCGGGGGCTACTTCTATTTTCGGTTCCCTGAAAACAAAACAATTATTACTAAAAATTAGTAATAATAATTATTATAACCTGTGTTTGAACCACTTTTTAATAATAAATAAATCATTTCATTGTAAATTATTGTCACGACCGACGGCAATATCTTAAAAGCAATCCAATCCCTTCAGACGTTACACCGCACGGATCTCACGACCTCATCTTAAAGTATTTGAAACCTTGTTCGCTACATAAATTTGGCAATGTTGTGTGTCGTGCGCTGAAGAATAATCATATTGGGTAGGGTCCGATTACAATTCAGGTATAATTCGTTGGCTATCGCCGCCTACTGTGGGTTAGTGGCTTGTTAATATTATAGGAATGATAAGAATTATAAGACCATCAGGTACATTAAGAAGTTTTAGTTTAAATAGGAGGCCGTTGTGCCAAACACAAAGACTTTTTTAATGTCCAATAGGAGAATGGCAGATTTTTTATTGTTCAATTTTGTTGTTTGCACATTGGAAACCAGCAGAGTGGTTGGTACCAGAGCAGAGATTTGTTATCTAAACCCAAATTGGAATTGCGGAATTCGTTCGTTTACTAATGCTGATAGTTTGACCTTAATAAGTTTTTCGAATAGTTTTCCCAAAACTGAAAGAAGGATGATTGGTCTGTAATTATCAATTCTTTTGTGGTCTGTGTTTGGTTTTGGGATAACTACGATGGTGCCTTTTTTTCATTGATTTGGAAAGTACGAGTTTTTATAACAGAATACAAACATTTTTACAATATAGATATGTATATTATATTCTAGTTTTTTCACAATTTGCCATGGGATCATGTCCGATCCTGGAGCGGAGTTTTTCCTGATTGGATAGTATTTTAAAGTATTTTTTCCTCCTCGAATTCTATGTTATTTTCTTCATTGATTGGGTTATTTCTAAAATATTGTTTGCACCATGAGTTTACATTACTCCAGTTTTCCTGTTCAAAAGATGGGTCTTTCGTTCCGTTACATGTTTTAATGATGTTCCTTTTGAATGCATCGGCCTTTTCTTTATCTGAGAAAGGTATTTTTCCAGATTCCTTAAAACTAGCTAAAGTAGTTCCCATTTACAAAAAGGAAGATCCGAATGATATTAGTAACTATAGACCAATAAGTCTTGTCAACTTTTTCCAAAGTATATGAGTTGAATATCAAAAATCAATTATGTAATTTTTTCAGTTTAAGCTGGTATCGTCATCACAACATGGTTATACTTCAAAACAGAGTACAGAGACTGCATTGATAGAGTTCCATACTATAATCGTAAGATCTCTTGATAATAAGCAGCATATCATGGGTTTATTTATTGATTTTTCTAGAGCTTTTGCCTGTGTGGACCATAAACTTCTACTGCTTAAGCTGTCTAAATATGGGGTAAGAGGTATATCACTCATATTTATCAAATAGAAGACAAATTGAAGTGAATAATTTGCTATTTACATGTACCCTTGGTAAAAATCAGAGTCAATAAACCACCATCTCCTTGGCTTACTGATAATTTAAAGTTAATTCTCAAGGAACGGGATAAGGCGTTATCTAAATTTAAATGTAACAGAACACCTGAAAACTGGAGGCATTATAAAGAATTTCGAAATTATGCTCTGGCTTCAATTAGGAGGGAAAAAGCAGCATTTTTATCTAGTTTGCAGAATGAAAAAATGAGAAACGTTTATGGAAAGGCCTACACAATATGAATGTTCATTCTATTTTAAAAAATGATCTACCTGTGAATCTACAAGATCCTACAGAAATAAACGATTATTTTACTAGAATTTTAAAAAATCTGACAATTGTCTTAACAAGATTCATTATTATGCTAATAATAAATACCTGAACAATACCTTTAATTTTAACTTAGTTAATCAAAATAATGTCCGAGATGCAATAAATTCAATCAACTCTAATGCTTCCGGAAGTGATGGTATATCTTTGTACATGCTTAAACTGTGCCTACCTACTATCTTAGATCACATAACACATATAATTGATTGCGGCCTTCAGTGTAGCTATTTTCCAAGGGCTTGGAGAGAGTCTGTTATTTGTCCTATTCCTAAAATATCTAATCCTAGTTCGGTACAAGACTTCTATAAGCTTATTGCCTGTTATTTCTAAGATTCTTGAACGAGTTGTGTATAACCAATTATTTAAATATTTAACTACTCATAAAATCCTACCTGTACAACAATCTGGCTTCCGCAAACAGCATAGGACCACTACTTCGTTACTAAACCTCTGTGAAAATGTTATTCGTGCAATTGATAGAAGACTTGCTGTTGTTCTAATTGCCTTGGATTATTCTAAAGCTTTCGATTTAATTGATCACGAACTTTTGTGTGCAAAACTTCAATACTATGGATGTAGTGATACTGTTTTATCTTTTTTCAAATCTTATTTGTGGAATCGTACTCAGAAGGTAGTGATTGATAATAACTTCTCGGATTCAAAAATTATTATTTGAGGCGTCCCCCAGGGATCCATCATGTGTCCTTTATTATTCTTAGTATACACCTCTGACTTACCAAAAGTACTTAAGGATAGTCAAGTTCAATTTTACGCTGATGATACCCAGTTATTAAATTATTTCGAACCCCAAGATATACACAATGCTAACAATCTGATTAATAGAGATTTGCAGTTTCTACTACAATATTCAAAAGAACACAATCTTACTATTAATCCTTCAAAAACCACTGCTGTTCTATTTTGTAATGAAGCCAGCAGAGCTGTTTAAGATCATTTTAAAAACGATTTAAATCAAAGATCATAAATCGTTTGAATTTGAACAAATGATTTAAATCAAAGATCGATTTAAAAAAAAAGATTTAAATCAAAAATCTTTTTTAGATTTAAATCTTTTTTACAATTTAAATCATTTTAGGAAAGATTTAAATCTTTTTTACAATTTAAATCATTTTAGGAAAGATTTAAATCTTTTTAAAATATTTAAATCATTTTGGGAAAGATTTAAATCTTTTTTACAATTTAAATCATTTTAGGAAAGATTTAAATCATTTTTAGGAAAGATTTAAATCTTTTTATAGATTTGGGTAACTCTTTAAAAAATGCTTTCGGTATGCCAAAGATAGATAATGAATACTTTTCTCGTATTTATTTTTTATCGTTATTAGCCCAATGCAATTCTTACCGAAATATTAATTTTAAATAATAAATATCCGATCAAGATAAATTTTTTAAGGATTTATGCAGCATTGATATCTATAGTTATGAAAATTGTTATTTAAAAATGTCATGTTGATTGGTAAATAGGAATTTTTCAACCCTTTAAAAGATTCTTTTGGTATGCCTATGATGCCACAAAACAATGGAGACCTAGTTTTTAAGAAGTGATTTTTTTTTCTGAAAAATCTCTTAAATCCGTCAACTCTTCCTTGAGTTAACGTGCTTAATGTCATACATACATAAACACCCACAGATGCACATACATCAGACTCTTTAAAAATATGTTTTTTGTACTTAGGAGACTCTCTCGGAAAAATGCATTTCATTTTCAAAATCTCCCGGCTATGAATAATGAAATTGAGTGGGTTGAATTAAAAGAGTTATTCTCTTAACGTGAAGTTATTGCGACTAAATAAATAGCCAAATAACGTGAAGTTATTGCGACTAAATAAATAGCCAAAGTAGGCGCGTTTGGGTTAATTTTTTTGAAAAATGTGTGGATGAATCAGGCAAAGAAATAAAAAATTTAATTAATTCGCTCTTTCTATGCCAAGCATGTTTATTGAACTGGTCAAAAAGTCATAATCGTCTTAATGCAACTAATGTCAAATCTGAAATAAAAGTGTGCATAAATTTAAAATACATATGTAAAGAGTTTCAGGATTATATCGATAATGAAAAAGTATTTCCAGCTGCTTGCGGTGTAAAAAATACAACTTTACAAAAAAAATATCGGGTCAAAAATATTGTAAAATTTCATACTTAAGAATAATCTTTAGACATTGCAATTATTTGTTACACTTTACTATTTTTTGTTTTTCTTTTCTCTCGGATTTCTGATTCAACCCTACTGACATGCTGGCTAGATTATTATTGAAAAGACAGGTTGATAACGATTTTGACGAATCAAGTGATGTAAATCGTTTTAAAAAGATTTAAATCTTTAAGAAAATTTAAATCATTTTAAAAAGATCGCATCATTTTACAGATTTAAATAATTTCAGAAAGATTTAAATCAATAAAAAGATTTAAATCGTTTTAAAGATTTAAATCGTTTTAAAAAGATTTAAATCGTTTTAAAAAGATTAAATCGTTTTAAAAAGATTTAAATCGTTTTAAAAAGATTTAAATCGTTTTAAAATGATTTAAATCGTTTTAAAATGATTTAAATCGTTTTAAAAAGATTTAAATCGTTTTAAAAAGATTTAAATCTAATTTTTAAATTAAATATCAAAGATACTTTTCAGAAAGATTTAAATCATAAATCAAAAATCATTTTTTTAAAAAAGATTTAAAATCAAAGTATTTAAATCAGAAAATGTATTTAAATCAAAAAATGATTTAAATCTCACTGATAGGTGACAGCTCTGGAAGCCAGACGTGTTGTTATTGAGAGATCAATGAGACTCGAGTTGGATGATGTTAGTATAACTTTAAATAATGAATCAAAAAATTTGGGTCTACTTATTGATCAGTCTCTTAGATTTAAGAGTCATATTAAGACCTTGATCAAGAGATGCTACTCAAGATTGCGGTTGCTTTACATTAATAGACATATATTGAACTTTAAAATGAGAAAAAAACTTTGTGAATATTTAGTTTTATCAATATTAAGTTATTGCAATATTGTTTACTATCCTTGTCTGGACAAACTGCCACAGAGCCAATTACAGCTTATACAAAATGCTTGTTGCAGATACATTTTTGGTTTGAGGAAATATGATCATATCTCAATTTATTTCGCTCAGCTGAAATGGTTCAAAGTTGACAATCTATATCAACTAAATCTATTAATATTTTTGAATAGACAAGGAACCCTGTCTATTTGTTTGAGAAATTAATTATCAGAACATCTGTTCATAATGTTAATATTAGACATAATATGCTTACAATGCTTCATCATTCCACTGCAAAGTTTGAAAGAGGTTTCACTTATAATGTTGTTAAAATATATAATCAGTTTTATTTTCTAAATTGGACCGTATCATTGCATATCTTTAGACGTGAGATTAAAAAGTATTTTTTGGCTAAGCAATAACCTGTTTTGTTTGGATTTCTCATTATATATATTTATTTTTTTTCTCTATATTTCAATGTTTGTTCTTTGTAATTATTTATATGTCTATTTGTTATTAATACTATAAGACTACAGATCATTATGTTATTACTGTGTAAATATAATGTAAATAGTATGTTATTATGTCAACTAGGAAGGTTAAGGGTTAAGAGTAGCTGTATAGTAACCTTCGCCTCCCTGGTGCAAATGTATGTACATTTGTTTTAATAAAGACGTATTACTATTATTATTATAAATTATTAGACATCGTTCTCAATTCAGCGAAATCAATGAAAAATTATTAAACTTGTCCATAAAGACAATTCAGGTAGGAGAATTGAAGTGAGAAAAATCGATTTAGATACGAAAAACTGAAATGCAATTTTGGAAATACAAAATTACCCTACGAAATTATGAAAAATACACCCCCCATATCCTTGCACAATGAGATTCCTGTAAAACTCTTGATAAAACCCTGATTATATTTGATGTTGTTGATCCAATTTTAACATTACGATCCTTAAGAAAAGCTTAAATTAAATTTAATTTTATTATAAAAACTATTAAATGCTTTTTAACAAATAAATTTTATTACATATTATAATAAATAGTGAAACATATTATTGTTAGTAATATAAAGTACAATTATCCAATCTTTGCCCGATAATCTCAGTTTTTTGAAAACCATCATCGTCGATGCAATAGTAATAATTTTTCATATTTTCAATGTAACTCTGATACGGTTGGTAATTACCATTTCCCAAACAAGTAAGACCATGATTGTATCTTTTGTAATCTCTAGCGCAGTTACAATTTAAGCTGCCGATATCGGTGCTAGAATCACCCTGAAAGGTACTGATTTTGGTACCGTCTCTCCAAGTGCAATACGCTATCCCTTGACTGATATTGAAAGCGCCGAAGGCACCGTCACCGTCGCACAATTTGACTCCCATATTGACGTGCGTCACGCCGTGTTGCTTTAGGATCTTTGCGATTTTGGCATTGGCGTACGTTACGCTGTCGCACTGTCTCAGATACTGCGCGCCTACTTTGGTGGCTACGTAGCAAGGTAATTTGACCATCGCTTTCTCCGGCACCAAAGGAGAAATAGGTTCGCCAGTCTTCTCTTCGGCGCACCAACACAGGCCACTGTCACACTGCAATTCTTCGTAGTTCCCCATGCTGTTGCAGTGGAAAGACACGTAATCCCTTCCAGCCGCTAGCAATTCGGCTTTACGTCTACTGCAAGCGCACGTCATATCGGCTGCTTGGGAATATCTGGCTTCGCCGAAGAGTCTGTTGCCGATGGAATCGAAACACAAACATCTACCGCTGACGCCTCCTTTGCACTGCTTCGCCTTCCAAAACCCGTCGTTTTGGCAGGCCGGTTTGAACTTCTGCGCCGTGAATTTGTTGGTACGGTAATCCGTCGTGTTGGCGTAGTAGGCCATGCAAGTTCTTGCATCCGCTACGCAGGTTTCGATGCATCTGGATCTGGGAAAAGCTTTGCAGTCTGCATTTGTTTCGCACTCCACCAAATAAGCGTCCGTAGTCCCGGAACAACGTTTCCCGCAAACGTAGCCCGGCACGCACGGGCATTTTTTCCTCAAGTATCCTTTTTCTTCGTACGCCACGCATTGCGGTATGCAGGATTTCATCTTGTCGATCCAGTAGTAAAACGTGTCGCGCGTCGTTTGCATGGCGATGCAATTGTCTTGCGAGAAGTCCGTTATTAAAATGTCGTCACATGTCGGTTCGCAAATTGAAGCGAGTAAACACAACAAAATCGCCAAGAAAAAACGCTCCATTTGTTTTTGTTGTGAACAAAGTAAAAAAATAACTAATTTGTGCACAGTTTTTTTGGTTCTTTGTAATATCTTTCAATATAATTTACTAGATAAGATTTGTTTTTATCTAAAGATACGTTTAAAGTACTGATTAATAACAATGATCGGATACAGTGATAAAATTATCTCAAATGCATTAAGATAGCTAGAAATGAATGAGCTCATCGTAGCTTGAAGTATGGAGGTTTAAAAAAAAATAATTTTATCAAGAATAACAACAACGAAGAATTACATTTTTTTTATTTCAAAAATTGATAGATATTTACATATAAATATAGTTTTCATTTATATTTTTGTTTAAATCATGTCAAGAGTTAAAAAAAATAATTTTAGTCGTGGTTTTTAACTTTAAAATGTTACGTTTCTAGTTTAATATGTAACAAAGTTGTCTAGTAATTGACGACAGACGTGAAGGACCTAACACCTAATTTATTGTAATGACTAACTGAATATTGGATTATAACCATTTATTTATTTGTGACACAAATATGACAAACTCAGGACAGTGTCCACGAAAAATATACAAAAGAAAATTCATTAACCAAAACTATTCTACAAAATACTCGTAAGGGTATAATTACATTTTAAAATTTAAAATAATTTAGATTGCAAGAAAGAGAAAATTAAGTTACAGATATTATTGGTGGCATTAATTGTTTAAGCAAAGAAATATTATTATTTAAGTGAAGTAACTTACAAATCAGCCTAATAGTGAAATAAGTCCGGAGTTCATTCACGGTAATACGTTGGTAGAGCTTGATTGATTATCCGTAGAGTACATTACTTTACAATGCGCAGAAACCAGATTGAATTTATAGGCAGTAGGCGTGGTCAAAGACCTCCCAGCGTCTTATTTATAATACTACACAGTTCATTCTGTAGCGTAGTAAGCGTTTTACTTATTGCATTTATAACCCAAACTATCGGATCGACATAAGGAAAACTGTCAAACGTAAATAATCCCATTTTATTGTTACCCAAATGAAGAATTCTGATCTTTCAGCTACGGATGCCTTAGAAAAATCCATTATACACATAAAAAATAACTTCTTGTGGTTACGATTATAATTGGCCAAATATTAGACGATCGAGGTTTGAAAGGAATCGTCCTTTACAATTTAAATTAAAACAGTAACATCCAGATACACCGTTTTATGTAGTTAATCTAAGTAAAAAAAGCAAGAACCAATAACCCACTAGTATAACATTCAACTGGATCTACTCAATCAATCAAGAAGATCTGTCACTAATACAAAGATGCGCGTAATCATCTACCGTACATTACAACAGTTTATAACCATTGCTACAAAACCCTTTCAATAGAAATTTCAACTCAATAGTTCCTTATCTGACTGCAAAAAGAGGCACGTTGTGTTTTTTTGCTTGCTATTTATAGTTAGAAACAAGGGAGGGGAACGAACAACATGTACTATGTCCCGGTGATGGGAGCTGTAGTGTGACCAATCAAATTCAAAGTAAAGTTGCTTATCAATGGATTTTTTGCGGTATAAGGATTTCTACCACGCGACCGGATATTTACGATTTTCAACGAAATTCGGAATACGGCTTAAACGTGTTTTTTCTGATCCGATGGTATTGTGAAAAGGATCATATTCAAAAGAATTGTAACCTTAAAATAAGTGTAAAATTGGAATCAAACGTTTAATTGCTCTCAAACTGATTGTATAACTCTCAACTAAGAGTGTTCCCCTTGCAAGCATTTTTTATTCAATAATTCTACCCCATTCGCTACAAATTAAACTATTTCGACATTTTTTTTAGAAAATTCGGGGAGAATAGAAGGTCGAATGATTGAACTATTATGTAAAAAAGGTTTGATTGCTCTCAAAATGTTTGTATGACTATCAACCAAGAATATTTTTTATTTAGCAGTTTTACCCCATTCAGCCTCTTATTCACTCAGTTTTCATGAAAAACGTGTCGCAACAGTCTTAATTTATAATATAATAATAATCTTTATTAACCAACAAACGGAAAAGTTTACAAAAGTTGTTAAAAAACAAAAATAATTAAATTTCATAAATAGATTGGTTAAAAGGCGCCTATTCAACAAAGCTGTTTTTCCATGGTGAATGGAATAAGACCACTGAATAAAAAATGCTTGTAAAGACAATACTTTTGGTTAAGAGTCGTACAAACATTTTGAGAGCCATTAAACCACGTTTTGACTTTTGGTTCCGATTTTACATCTATTTCAAGATTACATAATATAATTTTTCTACACACACACGGATATCAACATATCTACGCGCAGACTACAAAACGAAAAAGTATGTCATTGCGTTCATATCCATTCTAGGTAGTGAAAACAGTGCAAAAAAAATGAAATCCACCAATCACAGTTCATATAAATCATATTTTGAAAAAAAAAAAAAAATTTGTCTTAATAACCTAAAATATTTTTTTAATTTGTAGATTTCCGTTAGAGGGTCGTAGAAAAAATATACTCTACAACTCGAGTGGATTGTTCATATCGCACTAAGGCTTTTGAGCACTCCGCGTACGGCGTCGTGTCCAAATTTCGTCTTCGTGCGATATGGCCATCATATCCACTGCACAAAGAAATTCTCGCAATATCATCTTAAAATTAGAATAACCGCTATATCTCAAATTTCATTGGAAAACGTAAATATCCGGTTACGTGGCCGAAATCCTTACACCGGAAGTTGTAAAGGGATTTTTTTATTGTTATAAACGTCTAAAAAGGCATATATTTCATTGCCAGCAAAAACAAAAATCTATTGATAACTAACTTTACTTAGAATTTCACAGGTCACACGGCATTTCCCACCACCGGGACATAGTATGTTGTTCATCCTCTCCTCTGTACGCAACTACAGATAGCAAACAAAAAACATGACGTGTCACTTTTTGCAATCAGACGAGGGACTAAAATGCTGATGAACGTTCATCAGTTTTATCAAGTTCATAGTGATTAGACGTGTGTTTGTTGTGCTCTACAATTAAAGTTAATTGCAATTAATATACTGTGAGTACTGACTACATTTTAATATCCACCTATGCAAAAAACAAATCCTGAACTTTATGTGGAGTAAATTACATAAATATATATTTAAAAAACGTTAAAATATGCATTTATAAGATAAAACTGATTAATTAAATCGAGAAGTCATTAGCTAATCTTATTAACAAAACACAAAATAAATAGTATGAGGGCTTAACATTAAAAAAAATTAATAAAGAAATAACTACAGATGTAATTTATCAAATGTTTCAAAAAAAAAATAACAGCGCAAAATGAAAGTCTAAAGAATCAAGAAGAAACAATAAATGTTGAACTAATAGCTTTCAAAGACATAGTCCAAGAAAAATTAGACAACTTAGATAAAATAAATAAAAATTTAGAAGAGGGAGGATGGCAGATTTAAACAATGGTTGATGGTAAATGAGAGAAGAAGTAACAAATATAACTTAATAATACATCATTTAGATGGCGATGACGAAGTTATCAATCTAGTAAATCAGAAACTTAAAGTAATCTGTAGTAAATATTCGAGACGCCTATAGATTTTATTCGGTAAACATAAACCTATTCAAATAGAATGTTCAAACTCTCAATTCAAAAGTGAAATATTAAAACGAGCAAAACAACTAAAAGGCACAGGTATATACATATCCCCAGATTATATAGCCGAAGTTTACCACAAAAAAAAAAAAATTATTATCAGAAACTAGCGCGACAAAATGGTCAATCAGTGTCTATAAAAGGCAATTCCCTTATTGTTGATGGTACGATCTATGACCTCGAAACCTTACAAATAACAGATATTTTCTTAGAAAGTGCATCTACATTACAGCGCAGCAATAGTACGTCATTTACTGGAAGCAATTCACGAAAGCGAACCAGAGAATTACAAGATAGTGGCAATCAATCTAAAAAGGATAAATTTAACGTAGGAACTAAACCGAAGAACAAATAATTTTTAGGTTGTTCAAGAAATATCTTCAATTTTTAAAGGGACATGATGTAAAAAAATTTAAAAAAAAAATCAGGACGATCAACAAATTAAACAAAAATTATAGAACATATTTAAACAATTTAATAAAATATACAAAAATCAATTACTGTAAAGAACAAATAGAAAAAAATAGTAGTTCCGCAAAACGCATATGGAAAACAGTAAAAACAATGACATCAAATGTGGAGGAAATCAAGTTTAAAAAAAATTAATTACAAAAACAACATTATAACTGATAAGTTAGATATAGCAAATACATTTAATAATAGCTTTGTTCGCGGTAAGAATCCTGAATCGAATTATTACTAATAGTAACGATTTCGCAGGCGCAGTAGTTAAAAAGCGTTCGCGGAACAAAAAGAACTGAACTATTGGTTCTATTCTGCGTTTGCGGTAAAATTATTATTGATTTTGAACCGTTTGTCTATACCTGAAACACCGAGATATAATAGGAATTGCGCGCGCGGTAAAAATAAGGATTCGGGCATGCGCTCAAAGTATGAATTAGTAATTCTGAATCAGTTCAGGATTGTTACCGCGAACAAAGCTAATTATTATTCAGTCGTATGGAAAACATATGCTTCTAAAATGACTAAACCTCAAACTGCTCCCCCTCCTAGTAAATACGTAGGAGAGGGAAAAGAAATTATAAGAATCATCAACTCCCTAAAAAATAACAAAGCGCCTGGTGTAGATGATATAACAGGGGAAATTCTAAAATAAGTTTCTGTTAAAGTACGTGAATCCCTTACGTTCCTTATAAATCTAATGTTCCAAAATGGTATTTGTCCAAAGGAATTAAAATCTGCAAAAATAACACCAATATTTAAAAACGGAAACAGACTGAATGTAGCAAATTATCGGCCAATATCTTTAATTTCTAATGTTGCAAAAGTTTTTGAAAGGACATTAACAGAAAGAATAACAACATTTTTAAATAAGTTTAATGTACTAAGTGACATGCAATTTGGATTTAGGGAAGAACGGTGTACGGAAGACGCAATTGCTTTATTATCTGGGGAAATATATGAAAACTTAGACAATAGTAATACGCGTTTGACACTGTAAGTCACTCTCGGTTATTGGACACTCTGCAAGATCTTGGAATACGAGGAACGCCTTTAAAACTCTTAGAAAGCTACCTCACAAACCGAAAACAATGTCAAAATAGGTACAAAGATTAGTGAAGCAAATTTGGTAGAATATGGTGTTCCACAAGGATCAGTGTTATTTTCTATATACTTAAATAATCTTGTATTGATTAACTCAATGGGAAGAATTATATCTTTTGTAGATCACACTGCAATCTTATACAATGCACAAAGTTGGAATGAAGTCAAAGAAATTGCAGAGGCATATCTATTTAAAATCGTTAATTGGTTTGCTTATACCACACTAACAGTAAATTATAAAAAAACTTTATTTATTCCTTTTACCTGTAACAAAACAACCTTACCTGATTTTAACACATTAAACATCAATAACACAAATTGTGTAATATTTAGAGCAAAAAAAATTAAATACTTAGGTGTGGTTATTGATCAGCATCTACAGTGGGATGAACATGTCAACAATATCGCTAATTCCTTAAGACCTTTATTACATAAAATATTTATCCCAAATACTTTCATTAAAACAATTGAAAATAGTCTACTATGCAATTGTAGAAAGTCGACTTTCTTATGGTATTTTAGGATGGGGAGGAGCGTCTCAATGTTATCTGAAAATACTAGAAGTTGTCCATAAGCGCTTTTTAAAAATTATATTTAAAAAAGAACCTACTTATTTGTTTTCTGCACTTAGATAGTGGAGTCTTATATATTAGGCAAATGTATTTTCTAATAGTAGTGATTTACAAATATAAAGATTTAAATAACTATTATTATGTAGAGCATATTTATCCTACTAGATATAAAATTAACTTAAACCTAAAAACTGAATTTTCAAGAAAGACAGTTAGGCAGAGAAGTTATATTCATTTATTTATCTAGATTATTTAATGTTTTGCCATCTGAACTTAAATTTAGCAATTCATTAAAAAAAAAGTTAAAACATTCTTACTACAGACCGAAAGGAAATTAGAAATCTAATAGATTCACACCTTAACCAGCCAGTATTGCAAGTGGCGACTCATGTATTTAGGTTCTTTTTAATCAATCACTAATTATTAACGAAAAACTATAATCAATAAAAACTTTATAGAAATTGTGCGATTCTGCAACCTCTATATATCCCTCATATAAATGGTCCATATTAATTTCTTAAAAATCTAAGAAAAGCACCACATTTTGGACTAAAAAATTGTAGTTTCGTAGTTACGGTTAATTCTTTTTATTTTTAGTAAAAACAAAAAATAAGTACTTATAGGTTAAATGTTAGTAATGTTGTTAAAATGATATTTACCTTGATCATCTCGTGCAAGGACGACATGCTACCGATGCTAGCCGGATCGGGCGACGGCGATTTGTCGCAGGGTTTCGGCAAAGCGGGAGGGAGTTCTCTTGGTCGAGGCGGTGCCGCTCTTTTGGCGCCGTTATACGCTGGAAAGGACGGTCTGATCGGCGTCGGATTCGATATTTCCGGTCTCTTCCGTTCTGCGTGCTTCGGGGGAAGTGGCGCCGCTTTCGACGGCACCTGAAAACAAACAAAAAATATTTAATGTCGTTCAGACTTAAATCTAGTATACTTATCTACGCTAGAAAAACTTATTCTATCGACTACAGATACTAAATTTTGTATGAATTTATAGATTTATTTGCATTTTTGACTAAAAAACAAATACATAATACAGAAATAAAATATAAAATACATAAAAATTATTGTGGCAATGGTGTCATATTTGATTTAATCAACTTACAATTTTTCTTGAATTATTGTTAATTTCTGTAAAAAAATATACTAGCCATAATTCGGTATATTTTAAGATATTCGGTAAAAGAAAAAAATTAAAATAAACTGATTGTATTTCTGAGAGGTAAACAATTTTTTTCCGTACAGTGTCCCAGTGTTACCAGAGTCAAACGGTGAAAGCCTTACGGAAATTCAAAAACTACAAGCATTAAAAATAATTTTTAAAAACCGACTTCAAAATTCTGCAGATGCCATAACTGCATTTTAACCAAAATTATATGGGATCATCCCTTACTAACAAAAAAAAAAAAGAATCATAAATCATAAAGTGGGTAAATAATTATCGCTAAACATACATAAAAAATTAAGGGTTTGAGGATTTTCTCATGGACCCAATTATTAGATTTTAACAAAAATGTTATGGGACCACCCCTGAAGTACCCCCTTTCTAACAAAAAAAGAATCATATAAATCGGACAAGGTGGTAAAGCATTATAGCTAAACATACATAAAAAATGAAGAGTTTGAGGATTTTTTCATAGACCCAATTATTATATTTTGACCAAATTTATATGGGACCACCCCTTAAGTACCCCCTTTCTAACAAAAATAGCATAATTGAAATCGGACACCGTGTTAAAGAATTATCGCTGAACGTACATAAAAATAAAAAATATATAGCGACGAATTGTGAACCTCCTTCTTTTTTGCTTAAAAATTAATTAATGTTACAATTACACAATTTGTCCAAGGAAACCAAAGTATGATTTAAAACTGGATTTTTGGTAAAAAAAATCTTTATTAAGGAGGTCCTTTCGCCACCAATGTTAAATAAAAAATATTAGATTATGACTAAAATTTATTTTTTTTCTAATAGTTGAAAGTCCGTATTTATTTAATAGTGAACTTTTAACTATACCTTACCGAGCAAATTTTTGAGAATTTTTTTTAAATATGAGTATTTGTACAGTGTCTTACGAGAAAGTAAGACCTCAACAACAATTCTCGAATTATACTATTAGTTATTGATTAGATGGAGTAGAAAAAAACTAAAAATAAGATTTTTGAAATATTTAGGTTTTGTTTTTTACAATAAAATATATAGGTTACCGTGGAATTTATTATTAAAAAAAAATTTCAAGTAACCTAGTTGAAAATTTTTTGTGATTTTTTAATATTAATTTTTCAATAAATTCCACGGTAACCTATATATTTTATTGTAAAAAACAAAACCTAAATATTTCAAAAACCTTATTTTTAGTTTTTTTTTCTACTCCGTCTAATCAATAAATAATAGTATACTTAATTATAATTCATAAATTGTTGTTGAAGTCATACTTTCTCGTAAGACACTGTACAAATACTCACATTTTAAATTTTTTTTTTTCCAAAAATTTTCACAGTAAGGTATAGTTAAAAGTTCACTATTAGATAAATAAGGACTTCAACTATTAGAAAAAAATTAATTTTAGTCATAATCTAATATTTTTTATTTAACATTGGTAGCGAAAGGACCTCCGTAATGGTTAAAAAACGATTTCTTACCCTTTGAGGAGGCGTGGTGGCCGTACTGAACGGATTGTGGTCTGGTAACTGGTCAGTACGCGTGGGCGTCAGGTCTATCAATCGCTGTCTTTGGATGCCGTCTCCCGGTCCCATGTGACTGATATGGTTGAAGTTTGTCGGCGCAGATATGAGTTTCGATCGACGATCGGTATTCCTGAAACATTAATTTCGATACAAAAGGTACCTACGAGGTGTGGTGTTTAAATACAATTAATTGTATTTAAACATTCACGATTATAAAATATAAGCCGGTCCTGTTTCATATCAAGAATTTAAATTGTCAATTATATCCACTTTTAAAAATCCAACGAAAGGTTGAAACAACAAAAAAACTGCAAGGTTAATGTACAATATTACAATAATTAAAAACATTTAACTATAGACATAGAAAACAGTAAAACTATCTTTTATCTCCCTAATAACACAACGTATTTCAATCACATGAAACAGTTGGAACAAATTCATTTTAAGTTTAAATTCTCACTGCAAAAAATTTAAATATGATTCATACTTCATCTAAAATATACAAGGTGAGAATACATAGTAATAAAATCCCAAACAAGATAATTTAAACTAAGAAAGATACCTAAAACTAGATGGAAAGATAAGGTTATAAAGCAATTGGTGTTTTTTTGAAGTTTTCTATTACAAAACATTGTTTTTAAACGACTCCTACTTACATTCGCTGCGTCCTATTGCCTTCCCTCAACGAAAATCTTCTCCTAGTTTTATGTATTGTCCTACCATCTCTATCTACTGTGACTATGTTATCTATATTGATTATTTCCCCTAAAAACAAAAAAAAAAAAACATTAATTGTTATATAGGAACTAAATAATCCGACTTACTTTGATGTATATTCGATAAATAAAGCAAATGAGCGAGATCGTTTAGCAAACAAACAGTCAGACTGCCGCTTTCGTTTAACGGCTTAGCCTTTTTGATATTCAAAGTTTGCACCCACTCGCCTGTGGCGCAATTGAAAATATCGATATGGGTTTCACTATATACTACCAGATGACCGTCCCTGTATGCTAAAAAGAAATAAAAAGTAACAAAAAGGAACCATTTTTGACGAATTTATGTCAAATAAAGGTTCAAATATGATAAGTACTTACCGATTGCTGTGGGAACAGCCGGATACATAATTTCCCTGTCTCTGGACCGTCTACCGTGCCTATCTACAAATGCCGCCAGCGTATTGAACACCAACAAATATTCGTGCCTAGGAAGTTCTATGACCCGCACAGCTTCCACGGCACTGCACATTATTGTCGAATATAGAGGATTATCGGGATGCAACAAAGCTAAAAGAAACGAAAACAAATTAGATTTATAAAGTTAAAAAAAGTGTTACTTACATATCAATTGCTGATCGCCGCTCTGTATATTGTAGACGGTAAAACAGGAAGGAGATCCTACACACAGCCGTCCGTCCGCCAGTAATTGCAAAGATTGAACAGTAACCGGCAGCCCAATTTCTCTCACCCTTTGATGTCTGGTTTTAGTACGAGTTATTTCATAAATTATTATCACTGATGAGTTTTGCTGCAACAAACAATAACAAAAAATTAATTATTTTATATTATTAAATCCTGCTAGATCGCCAGATTTAATCCATGAGAGAGCAAAATGATGAGGTGCATTGACCTTTCACTATAAAAAGTCATACTAGACAAGGGCGTAATGGGCGTGTTAGTGTAAACGAATTTAACTGTTTAAGCACAAAAAAACTTTTTTTTCATGCAATAAATTCTTTAAATAATAATAAATAATAAAGTTATAGTGCTTTAAAAAATTCACTTTTAAATAAATTATTTAAAACACTATTTATCGCCATTTACCGCGTCATAATGAAGCGCTTATTTCTATTGGTTACTAAAGAATCTGTGATACCATAACACATACAGTTGATCGTTACCTTTTTCTAATAGTGACATTTCTAAAATCAGATAAAAAAATATATTTTCATTTCTCATGATACAAAAATGTCAAAATTTCTAACCTCAAATCAATTATGGGAAACATAGAAATTGCTTTTAAAAAGTGTGATAAAATAAACATTTGTTTAACTTTGCGTTACATTAAAAATATGTGGTTAAGTACTTGGTCCTTATGAGAAGTAAAAAAAAAAACCTGTCAATGTGATAAATGGTTTATAAAAGCTCCATAAAATGTAGACTTGACATTCAAAAACGATAGTGGACTAATAGTATGAGAGACCACTGCAAATTTTAACCGTCATCTGATAACGAAATGAAATATGCTCCAAAGGCATGTAACAACATTGTACTTTACCAAATTGCACCTGTGCTAATCCCTATCCTGAGCAAAGTGGCTAAAAAAAATTATTTTATATTCAAAAAATCGCATAAGACATGACAGCGACAATTGTGTTTTCCCTGAAAATAACAATCCTAATTCATTGTAAACCTAGCTTTTAAACCTGAATTATTAATATTTTTACCTACCTTTTAAACCATATTTATATATAAAAGGAAGAAGGATGGCATTGTATAAATCATTTGCAGAGATAGTCAATAATAATTATAAACTCTTGTCAGACAATTATTTTAAACCATAATCATAGTAGTTTTTTGTCGTTTCTATGGCAACCTGTAAAAATGAATCACAACAATAGGCATACAAATAAATTTTTAAACCAGCAAACATTGATTCATATTTTTTAATGATTTTTACCTAATAATCATGGATAGATGTTTTTGTGCAATATGAAGAGGAAGAAAATGTTTCCCTTTAACGATATATATCAAGATATATTTGAATGTAATTTTCTAGAAAAGTTTAAGGGCAAACAAAATTAGCGCTGTCATGCCTTATTTGATTTTTTTTAATATAAAATAATTTTTTTTAGCCACTTTGCTCAGGATTGGGATTGGCACAGGTGTCATTTGGTAAAGTACAATGTTTTTCCATGCTTTTGGAGTATATTTAATTTCGTTATCAGATGACGGTAAAAATTTGCAGTGGGCTCTTGGGTTACAAGGGCTGTTGCAAAATACAAACCACCACTTTTGTATTTATTTTGATGTAAGTAAAGATAATCTTGAATTGTTTTTGTTTCCAATGTGATATAAATTGATAAAATTTACCTAAGTTGATAAACTAGTAGGTCAATATAGATACCTATCTTTTTACTTAACACTGATTCTGAGGGTGCTAATTAGTTAGCATTATTTTTTAGGTGGAAGAAGATGCAGAAAACTGGATCCATTTCAAAATAATGGATAAAAATAAAACAAGATGTGACTCATAAATATAACACCTAAAAGGTTCTTTTTTTAACTGACCCTGCCAAAAAAAGATTAAACATTTGAATTGTATTGTCATATATAAATGTTATTAATTACTTAAATGATTATAATAAAGCTTGCCTGTTATTTATTGTATTCTTTTTAAACAGGAATGTATAAATAAATTACCTACAATATGTACAAAAACTTAATTTATTAAACTTGCATATTATATATTATGTTTAGATATGTTTCTATTATTAATATGTATTTAACAAAAGCTAATAGATGTATTTAAAAAACAATTTCTTTAAAATATGCAAATCATTTAAGTGTTTTTTTTTATTCTGATAGTTTTGCGAAATCTATGCAAATCCACAAAAGTAAATGCCTGGACTATACTTATATAATAAATTGTCAATGTCTTACCATTAATAAACCTTTAACGGTAATATAATAGGTAATTGATAAATAAATATGAAGAAAACGACAAAACTTATTTTTATTTGAATTCTTCCAAAAAATATTTGCCGGCTTCATAATATCATTTAGTTCTTGTTCATGAAAAATAAACTTATATTATTTAAACGTCCTTATTTATTTCAAAATTTTGAAATTCCTCACAAAAAAACCATTGTTTATCAGAAAGCAACATTTGCAGTTGAATATATGGAAGTATAATGTTCTGTTCACTTTGCATTCGATATAAATCCATTCACTCTTATTATTTATAAAAAGCACACATTTAATGTTTTTAATTCGAAGAAGAATCGACACCCTCAAATCATTAGAACTTTAAACTTTTGACAACAGTGGCCTTTTCTAATAACACAATGTTGATGTGATGAAAGGTTATTCACTTAGATGGTGTTCAGAAGCCACAACAAGAAAGCAACACTCTACATCCAACTTAACAAAAATAGAACTATGTAAAATCATTTAATACCGTATTTTGAGCTTTTTAATATTGGCAGGAATTGAAATTACCTTCGAAAGCAGAATATTCTGTGAATATGACCTTTTTCTTTTGTTTATTTATTACTGAATAAGGCTATAAACTTTTGTGTTCTGGATCAAAACTTCTGGTGTAATTCTAGCTTTAATGTTATATCTCGAGGGTCACAGTGCAGGACCTCGTAAGTTTTTATTTTACATTTTAGTTATTTTCAGTCAATATTAACAGAACAACATTTGCCAAAATAATTTAAACTATTTAATTTGGACAATAATATATTGATATGTAGGCTCTATGTAATAATCCCCAAGTATAAAATGGAAAAATTTATGAAAAACGGAGTTTTTATAATTTTTCTTAAAATCCTATAAAAAAAATATACGAGGTACTGCACTGTGATTCTCAAAATGGTAACCAAACATATAATAGTTCACTTACTTGGAAGACCTATAATAGAATAGAAATAGTTAACAATAATAAGTAGTGAGTTTGTATAATAAAAAATGTTTCTTTCTTGAACACAAATCTCTTTGAATACAATAATTCTAGAAAGATTTGGAGCTCACGTTGCGAATTTCAGAGCCAATAAACTTGACAAATCCTTAATCATGTTAGAATCCACCTTGGGTAAGTTGGCTAAAGATTCTTCTTTTAATCCTGTTTGTACATTGGCAATTTTTAAAAAATTAAATCATTTTAAAATCAATCAAAATAATCTCGCAATCGAAAACGAGGTCAGGACTTAGACTTTTTAGACGCACATATGAAACCACTTTGCAAGACAGAGAAAATATTTCGCGATATAGGAGTTATGATTTGATTTACATTTCGATTAAGAAAGTTTATTGAAATAGTAAGTGTCAAGTTGCTTCATAAAAACTGAATTTAAACAATTATTCTTTTAGTTTTAATATATATGTTTTTGTTTTAAATTATATGATCTTAACCTTTAAATTGTCGGTTATCCGGAATTTCAATAATTCTTTATAGGAAGCGGCAACAAGGTAAAAACATATCGACTATTGTCTGGAAGGTTATAAATTGGCCAATCAGATTTTAGGCTTCATTATGACGATACTTAAAAATCATTGTGGCACGCGTTTCAAATTTGGTTGATTTTTTTTAACTTTAAAAAATTCTTGTAGAAAAATTTGAAAAGAGAAAAATTTCAAAAAAATATTTCTAGATTAGATTTTGTTCTAAATTTTAGAAAAAAATATTTTTAAATTTCACTAAACACGCCCATTGGCAGAGTACGGACGGCTCAAGTCCGAGGTTTTTCAATTTTTGTTTTCACTTTGGAAATATGAGGGTGTAATTTTCATAATTTGGAATGGGGAATTGGGAATTTTTCATTTTCATAATTTTTCATATTTTCCAAAATTAAATAAACTTTTCTATTATTTTTATAAAAAAATCATGACAGAATGCACCTTGTATAAGTTGTCTGAAGATTCTACTGTAAATCCTGTTTGTACTTTAATAAATTGACAATAATAAATCAAAATTTAAAATAAATTAAAACAAACTTGCAATCGAACGTGTGGTTGGTATTATGGAGGATGAAACAACGTTGCCACACTTGTCAGAGAAAATATTTCGTTATTATGATATTGAATAACATTTCGTATAAGAAGAAAGTCCATTAAAATAGTTGCTTCATAAAAACGCAATTTAAATAAAATGTGTTTTTTTTGATAAATTATATATTAACATTTAAATGATTGTCGGTTTTCTGGAGTTTTAATTTTTTTTTTTAGACATAATTGAACAATATAAATAAGCCAATAAGATTTTAAGCTTAATTATGATGTGGTTAGAAAAATCGAATGAAAATTTGAAAAGAAATTAAAAAAATATATTTCTAGATTAAATTTTGTGGTATTAGAAAAAATATTTTTGAATTTTCCTAAACACGACCATTGTTTTTTTTTGTCAGTTTTACAGTCAGATAAGGGCCCGATAAACTTCACCAGAACTTTTAGAAGAAAACAAATAGGATATAATTTTGATTAACACATATTTCTGCAGGATTCAATTTATTACCTGTTTTTTTATCGACACGCACAAACAGAAAGTTAAAGGCGCCCTCAAAACAGGTCCCACGCTAAGAACGCAACATCCTTTGCTTTCCGTAACCTTGATCCACTCCACTTCGTCGCCGTCCAGCGCCCTAATAGGTACCAACCGCACCTGTCTCTGTTTACCGCTCACCACCACGAGAAGATGCTCCTCACTGATGTACTCCAACTGGAAGATCTTCTTCCCTTCGCCGATTTTCGCTACCTGAATAAAAAAACGTTTTTTTATAAATCCATCCTATTCTAAATCATTTTAAGAGTCTTCAATATTGCTATGATTTTAAGAATAATTGCATTGCACATATCAATTGGGAGTTACTTCTTAAAGCTGATAATCTGGACTGTTAAATTTTTATTTCGAAATTCAATTAAGCTATTTAAATGGTTCAAATTTTCCTATTTTGTTTTCATCAGAATTAAAAAGACTTAGTTTTAACAAAAAATCGCTCATCAAACATTTCAAAAGCATGGGAACATTAATGATTACATTGATTAAGATCTAAATCTAAATTTATAGTTCTGGTTTTGACATTATTCAATAATGATAACCCAAAGTTTTTCTAGAATTATTATAGCAATTTGAAAAGCAAATACTTTTTACCACATTTAAAATTTGTATATTTTTTACAGCAATCAGGATTTCCCGAATGTTGTTCAATAAGTAAAATATAAATAAAAAGTTAGTTACTAACCTCGGTTCGGTCTAAATCGACGCAATACATGCCGTCCTCGGTACCCAAAACGATTCGATCGGGATCGATAATGGCGGCGCTCAAGGTGTTTCTTAACAACGTAAGGGAAGTATCAATTAGTTCTCGGGCCACTATGACCGTCGTATTGGGTAAGTTGTTTCGTTTCATGATCCTGTGTAATTCGGCTAACGCTACCACCCATTTATTTTTCTCCGCTTCTGTATCGGCTAACATTAAAGTTGAGTTTCTCGGACCGGGCGGTTCCATCAAAGAAGTCGTTATCTACGTTTCAAAAAGGTTACAAATTCGATATAATTTAATCTTACAGAAAAACTGGATAAATATTTATCTTACAGAAAAAAACCTAGATACATATTTGATCTTACAGCCTACAGAAAACTAGGAAACAATGTAGTTATGCCCATAATGGGTCATAGTGTGCAGTAAACCTAAATCTAACCCGTCAGTTTAACGAAAAAAAAAAAAAAAAAAAAAAAACAGGACATTGTTTTCCTTACCGAACAAACAAAAAAGACTGTTTTCTATCATAGAAAAGACGAAATAAAAATTCTTATTAAACAAACTACATTGCCTTTGTACCATGGAAAAAACTGTGGAACACTGTTTTAATCTTACAAAAAATAACTGTAAAACAAGGTTTTTTACCTTACAGAAAAAATGTAATTAACTAATTCATTTTTTTTTTAAGAAAAAATGGAAAAATTATCTAACAGAAACAAAAAGACAAATATGGAAGTACACGATTGATACTTATCCAACGTTGTCAAAACTTCATGCATTGATATAATTTTATCTTACAGAAAAACTGGATAAATATTTATCTTACAGAAAAAGTTGGATAAATATTTGAATTTACAGGAAATAAAAGTCTTACAGATTAACTAGAAACAATGTAGTTATGCCCATGATGGATTGTGGTGTGTAGTGAAAGTATGAATTTCGTTTAACTCATTTAAAACCTAAATCTAACCCGTCAGCTCAAAAAAATATATTTTCCTTACCGAAAAACAAAAAAGACTGTCTTTCTATCATAGAAAAGACGAAATAAAAATTACGGTTAAACAAACTACAGTGCTTTTGTGTCGTGGAAAAAACTGTGGAACACTGTTTTATCTTACAAAAAATAACTGTAAAACAAGGTTTTTTTAACTTACAGAAAAAGAGGTAGTTAATTGATTTTTTTTTTAAGAAAAACTGGAAAAGTGATCTAACAGAAACAAAAACACAAATATGGGAGACACGATTAATACTTATCCAACGTTGTCAAAACTTCATACATTGATATAATTTTATCTTACAGAAAAAACTGGAAAAATGTTTTATCTTAAAAAAAAAATTACTTCAGAATAACTAGAAACGAGTTGTGTGTAGTTTATCTTATTTATTTATTTACAATACTCTACAGGTCATAAACCCAATTACAGAGCAGGAATTGACAGAATATAATTATTAATAGATCACATTTTTTATATGAATGTTAAGCACATAAAAAGAACTTGTATTTTGTAATAGGTAACAAATTAACTAAGATAAAAAGTGAGATTTTATATCTGACAAATTGCAACTAAATATCTTATGTCCATGATGAGTCATGGTTTGCAGTAAAGGTGTCAATTTCGTCTCACTAATTTAAAAGCTAAATCTAACCAGTTAGTTTACAGAAAAAAAAAACTGTCTATCTTACAAAAAGAAACTTGAAAAGACAGAATTGGTTTTATTGCAATAAACCTTCAGACATATTTGTGAAAAAACTACGGATGTTGTCTTACTTTATATACAATGTGAGTCAAAAGTAAGGAATACTTTGTATAAAAGGGAAAGTATTGTTTTTTAGAAAAATTCAAATAGCTCAATATTGTGTTTAAATTCCGTATTTCTGACATAATATTCGGATATACAGGGTGATGCATGTAAATGTATTGACGTCATCGGTATTTTTTTTAATAGCAACCCTCATTTTTCAAATTTAGATACTCTATCCAATTTCCAACATTATAATGTAATAAAATCGATACCTTACATAAGAATTTTTTTAAAGAAACATAATTATGAAGACAGGGGAAATTGCATTTATTTATTATTTACACATCACCCTGTGTATCCAAAAAAAGTGCGGAATTTAAAATAAAAGTGAGCAGTTTTAAAATTTTTCCAAAAATCAATAGCGAATTAATTTCTCACTTTTGACATGCACAAAAATAATGATAATAAAGATTACTTTTAAACAAATCATATATTGCCTTAGTGTCACAGAAAAAATAATAGATCACTTTTTTCTTACAAAAAAATAACTGTAGAACAAGGTTTTTATCTTACAGAATAAAAGTTGTTTAGTTTGTTTTGTATCACACAAAAACCATGAAATTATTTTTTTTTTGGTAAAAAAAATTGTGGAAAAGTATTCGAACAGTAACAAATTAACGTAAATATGGAGATACATTTTCGTTAATTATCCAGTGTTGCCAAATGGTGTAACGTTTACGATTTTTAGGTAAATATAGCAACATGTTCTTTTTACCTTAAATATACAAGGAATATCCTTTTTACTAGCGTGAATGACGTCCAAATCTTTAACGCTGGACACGCTGAACTGCGGGTCCCGCATATCCAATACTTGAGCCACGTGAACGCTCGGTACGGCATTGCGATCGGCGGATATGTCGTACAAGAATAGTTTGAAGTCGCAAACAACCACAAATTGTCTGACCCAACCTGAAAAACAAAACAAATATTAAAAAATTACGGTTTTTCGGTTAAAAAACTTATACAGACCTTTTTTGACACCGCCGGTTTTTGGAACTTTTACGTATCCCTCGTAAGCCGTTCCTATACCTCTTGTGGGATCTATACCGAGTGGTCGTTTGGCTAAAAATAATAATAATTTGTAATAGTTGTTTTAAAAATGTACTGGGCAACGAAAGTATAGACAATAAATCGCGGGTATAGATTAACTCCATCCACCTTCATCGAAACGGATATGCATGACGATTTTTATGATCTGGATGTCATATCAACAGAAATTAAATTTTTGCAAATACGGTATCAATCAAATCCTATAGAGAACCATGCAAATAAATTCACATGGTCTACCAGGCAAAGCCGAATAACTAATTTTTTTATAAAATGTGGATTTAGTCGTTATTTACAGAATATCCACGAAATGAACGTAACTTACTCTGATCAGGTGGAACCGGGCATACGGCGGGCACGTGCGCACAGCACGACGTGTGACATGTGAAACCGCAAATTTCGCAGACCATTCCTTGCCGCATCAGGCCCACCATTAACGATGTGCAGTGGCTGCATTTTGTCGGACTAGAAAACGTTCTTACCAAAAATTGATGGGCTTTGTGTTTCATCGGCGATTGGGGTTCGTGCTGTAAATATATAGAGCGTTAAATTGTAATAGTATACGTGTTTATTTATTGATATTTCAAAGTTTAATTTACTGTAATATTCTAGATAATCGAGATTGATTTTTGATCAAAAATTATCCCACTAAACATAGAAACTTACAAACATTTCCAGCAAGTTTATTTTCGGCTTGTAAATAAAATTTATTTCGTAAGTGATTGACAAATTTATTAGAATTTTACAAATTTTTAGTTTTTAGTAAGTTTTTAGCAGAAAATTCATATTTTTAAACATGAAGCAATCTTATTTTTGTATATTTGCAAAATAAAATTAGCAGACAATTTTCTTTCATAAATTAATGTTTCAAAACTATATATAAGTTCAATAATACAAATTTGTATCCAATTTAAAAATAAAAAGTTTCACACACTTGCCGCAAGTTTATTTTCGATTTACAAATGACTTGTTTCGATAAGTATGTAGAAAATTTATTATAATTTTGCCAATTTTAGTTTATATTCGAGAGTTTTTAGTATGTTCTTTAACGAACATTTAGATATATTTTTAAACTATGTGTGTAACTTATGAAAATAAAATTATCCAAAAATGTATTTCAAAACTTCTAGAAGGTACAAATCAGAGGCGAACCGAAGTTTGTCTCTGTCTTTTCAATATTTCGAAAGGAACGAAATGATATAGGCTTGTTCTGATTTCTTCAAAATGTATTGCAAACCGTCCAAGATCTAGTGGAACAGTTGAATATTAAATGGGTGTTGGCCACTTGGTCGCCGCGGTTAGTTTTGTCAGCGGGGTTCCGTAATCTCATCGACCACTTGGTCTCCAGTTTTAAAATCAGGTAAGCCTCTTGGTCGCCGTAGTTATCAATCATTAAAGGTATCTATTTCGATTTATTGAAAATAATATTTTTAAGAAAAAAATAGTTTAACTGATTTTTATTATTTTCCACGTGAATAGAAATTTTTAACTGATATGATATGGTACAGAATGTGGGTCAGGAAAAGAATAAAACCAAATTAAAAAAACACTTATAATTAATAGAAAACAATATAAAATTATACATAATAAAAAAAAGTAGGTACAAAATACACAAAATACCAAATAAAAATTATTTAAGAAACCCAAATTGCAATTAGTTTTTGTAATGATAAGAAACTACTTTGATAAATTGAGTTCGTGAAAGGATCTTATTTTTATATTGTTCTATTACGTTCGTTAAATACGCATGCCGTTTTTTGTAATTAGCGTTTTTAATTTTGTTAGGTATATGTGTACTGTTTAATTTCACATAAGTATTTAACTGAATATCGAGAATTACATTAACAAATTTAAATATATCGGGATGCGCCGAATAAAAAGCAGAATTAAAATGTTTGTGGAAAGACTCACAAGCATTTGTTGTGCGTTCTGTGGAACTTGTGCACGATGCCCACATTGTAGGCGGGAAGTCAGACGTATCGCTAGTATACGTATTAATCATATAAAGAGTATATGAAGTTAATCTCTCGTCAAATGGCATTATTGGAATTAAATCTTTACAAAAACACTCTGCCACTTCAGTACTTTCCAAAAATAAAATGCCGAAAGTGTAATGAAGCCATTTGCCGATTTCAGAATTTTCATTTTTATATTCGGAAATCAAACCCAGATTTTGTATCTTACGTAACCACGATTGGGTTAAATGAAATCTACATCCAATAATTAAGATATCAGGCCAAATCTGTATAATACCAGTGTGTATGGCTTTCTCAAAATCGCAAATAACTTTACACAGCTTCCAATCTAAATTTAAATTATTATAACAGTAATCTTTTAATAATTTAAATGCAGTTGCATAGGTACTTGCTCTTTTATCTGGTAAAACAAAAAATGCCAATGGTATGTAGTGTCCGTTATCAACAGCATGTATAGTGAAAAATTGTAAAAAAAATTTAGGGCAATAATTAAATGTGCCGTCGCAATAAATACTATCACGAGAACACAAGTATTTTAAATTTGAATCACATGAAAATAAAATAATTAGTGAATCTTCATTGTTAAATAATAAAAATTGTTCACCCTTATTTGTAACACATAAGACAGTTTCCGAATCATCCACTCCAATAGTCGCTTTACACCCACGACGAGTACACTTATATGATACACCTAACTTTGTTTCCTTGTCTTTTCCAAATGTATATTTTTTTACAATTAACAACTTTTTTCCTTTTACACTTAACATCGACTCCATTGCAACACAAACTCAAAACTTCTTTTATGGAATAATGAATAAGATGAGAATCACTTTTAAAATAAAAAAATTAATCTTTTCAGTAAGAATGCAGACAATTAACTGATGAAAAATATTTTTATTTTAGTTCTCGACAGGTCACAAACCGATATTATAATTAGAGTAATTAAATAACCCCATAATTTTCTTGGAACCCTTAATCCAGGTTTGGAGACCAAGTGCCCTATACCTTTCGAATAGCGAAAGGATTAAATTTGGGTAAAACTGACCGCGGCGACCAAGAGGTATATTCCCTATTAAATTATTAGTCGCGTAAAACTTTAAACTTTCCATTGGTTAGTTAGAACATAAACTTGGACAGAAAGAAAGAAGGAATAGATATAAATGAAGTAGACTATAGAGACTTATTACCAAGAGTTAAAAAATATATAGGAAAAGGAGTGGAATGAAATATGCAAAATATAAAGGACAACACTTATATAACATCCAGGACGAACTTTAAAAAAAAACATGGTTTCAGGACGTTAATCTAAATAGGAATCAAATTACTACTATGTCCAGATGTAGAATAGGACATTATTGGACACCAATTCATCTACATAGAATAGGACAACTGGACGCATATTTATTTACACATCCTCCTATACGATGGCACCAGGGTGCTGAAATGTGTTAGCCTTTGTGGCCTATAATTGCACTACAAAAGCTCATTGATTTGGGCACCCATACAAACTGTATGTTATTTGAGACTTTTAATTTTAATTTAGCTGTGTCCAGGCCGTTGGAGTCTATGCCGGTAGGCGTAGCCAGGTATGGGTAATTTGTAGAGGACTGTCGTCAATTATTATTTAAAAAAAAAACACATTTCTTAACTAATAATTTAAACAATAGATATATTAAAAAAACGATTATAAACAATTAAAAGTTATTATTAAGAAAACATTTTTTTTTTTAATTAATAAATTTTTTTTCTCGACATTAAAACAGTAATATTATAATAAATTGAAAAAAAAAAAATGTTTATAGCACCACTGTGACTTTTCTGTTTTTGTAAACTTTAAAAAATTATTATAAACAAAGTATTTACATTTTTTAAACTTTTATGAAGCTATTTTGTTTTATATGTATATAAAAAAAGCTCCACGAAGCAAAAAAAATCTACGGTAATTATTTAATATTTTTATCATATTGTATTGTTTTGTTAATTAACAATAATCTACTTTGTTGGAAAATTAATTTTTATGAAAAATTCCAATGGGAATGAATTCTTCTAAGAGTTTAGAATACACCGTAATTTTTTAAAATGTTTGAATTTAATTTTATTAACTTAAAAAAATTATTTTATGTAACGTACTCGGTTTCGACGCCGTTCGCGCAACCTAAAAATGGCGCGCGGAAGGCTACTTTGAGCGTTAAATTAAAATTGTAAATAATGGAGGTACAGTTTCGGGAGTTGGAACTTATTTATAGCAAATTTCCTCCTCTTTAAGGATCTTTTTTGAAAAATCCAAAAATATTTAGTTTACAAACTATAGGCGAAAAACCAAACACCATGTTTTTGAGGTGTTTAATTGTTTATAACTTTTGCAATTTTTTATGCACTGCAAAATTTTTCTTCACAGCTATTGAACATAATTTTCTTAATAGTATGTCCCAAAAACACGCTTTTGAACTTGTTGATTAGACTAGTGAGACAGATTCAAACTTGCTAAAAGCTATCAATATTTAACAAACTTGCAATAAATTTGCAGCAAGTGTATTTTGCTTAGTGGGATATATCTCATAAGTAGATTTCCATATTAATAGATATACTTACCATACTAATTTCTGATAAATTACTCTTGGAACTGGTCATACTCAAAGCTCTATTGTCCTCTATATCGCCCTCTTCGGACTCTATCGAGCCGCCCTTGAACAGATTTTGACTCGGCACATTGTCGTACGTGTTAATTTGTTGCGACGACGAATTCGTCTCCTTCAAAAATTGATCCAGATACGACATCTGCGAAGACGGTCGTTCTAAAACTACGAAAACAAACCAAAAAAAAAACCGAAAAACGATTAGTTATCGGAAATGTAAATGGCATTAGAGTTAAAACACGCTTCAAAATATGTATTATTGTTTTAACAAACACACTGTTGTATGTAGTTTGTGATGAAAGAGGTAAACAAGTTTATGCATGAAAACTGAGGACTCCGCATGTTCCGTGATAAAAATGTTAATAAAATTGTAAATATTAAAATGCAGATGTTCCAAGTATGCAGTCAATAATACAGGGTGCTTATTGAAATAAATGTAAAAATTGAAAGTGAAAAAAAGGATACGATGTACCAAAAATGGGTTAATTTTCCCTTTTTCCGATCATTATACATGATTTTTAACCATATTTATGAGAAATATTGTTTAATTAAAGATACCGATAGTAAACATTCCAATTTTGTGTACAATATACAGGGTGTTTCAAAAAGATTGGTCATATATTATACCACATATTCTTGGGTCAAAAATAGGTCGATTAAACTGTACTTACCTATATACAAAAGTGCACCCAAAAATAGTTACAGGGTGTATGAGATAAAAATTGAAATAAATTTTTTTAACGTTGCTCTTAAACCGTTTGGCATTTTTTCATGAAATTTTATATGACGTGTTAGAATACCATGACTAATAATACCGAGGAAGAGGCAGTATTTTTTTCTTGATTTTTATAGGTTTTTGGAGGGGGTCACCACTCTTTTCTCTACTCAACTTTTTTGTAGTATAAAATTTAATTACAAATGAAACGCCACTGGAATGCAACACCCATTTGGAAACTTTTTTGTCTCTTAGTATTTGTTTGTAAAAAGTTTAGTTTAGACGATACAGCCATTTGAAATGACAACTTAAAAATATTCAATGGAAATTCTATGTATGAAAAATATCAAAATCAAGTTTATTTTTAAATTACAAACTAATGTCATCAAAATAAAAAAAAATTAATTTAACAGGTGTTCAAATTTCATTCTCCTCCTGTATACGTATAATTAACATTGAATATTTTTAAGATGCCATTTTAAGTGGCTCTATCGTCTAAACCAGTGGTCGCCAACCTCTCAATGTGTTGAGCTACTTTGCTAATTTTGGAATAAACAGCGAGCTACCCACACGGAAGCCACGTAACGCAACGTAAATGAAATAATCCACAGTTAATTTATCATTATATGTATTTATTTATACATAATACATAGGTACTAATAATAAACTAATAACAAAATAACTAATATTACTAGTACGTACTTGTTCATAGCTACACTCCTACCTACCAAACGAAGGTGTTTGAAAAATAAACACAAACTTTTATCCAGCCACAACGGCATGTCACGTAAGATTTAAAAATAGTTAATAATAACAACAAAAAAAGTAACGCACTATCATGAACATAAATATTGAAAAATAAAAAAGCACGTTCAATGAGAAGGCTGACACTCAGACTAATCGATAATTTTTTTAATGTTTGCAGTATAATTTGATACAGCCATTCGAATACAATTATCCAAATGTTCGGCTGTAAGTCGATTGCGATATTTGTTCTTAATAAACTTAATATTGGAAAAAGAAGATTCACACAAATAGGTTGAACTGAATAATGTTTTCACTTTCAAGGCAACACGGCATAGAACTGAATATTTGACTTTACTTACAATAGGCCAGATACATTTGGTACTTGAGACTAACGATTTTAAGGCTAAATCATTTTGAAACTCAATTACTTCCATTTCTGTTGCAGCGATGTCTTCGCCAAAGTTCTGCATAACACAAGTTGCAAACTGTTGGATATCAATTTCCATAAAGGGTGAAACAACAAACTGCGCTACTAAAGCCATTTTGTTGAAATCCTTAAAACGATTTTTGAAGTTATTCATTCTTCAGGGTAGAAACTATTTCTACATGATATTTGCTGTCATAGGGTTCTAATGGATTTTGAGATATTTTTTTCTGAAAGAATAGGAAAATGCTTGGCATCGCTGTTAATTAGGTTTTGTTCCCAAAACTCCAGTTTTTTGATAAATGCTTTTATATCAGAAATTATTTCCGCTAGTTCTTTGTCTCTCCCCTGAAGCTGCAAATTAAGTTCGTTTAATTTCTCTGTAATGTCCACGAGAAAACCAAAATCTCTAAGCCAGATTGAATTTTCTAGTTCCGGAGTCGGTTCATCGCGTTGTTTGAAAAATTGAACTATGCCAGATAGGACATCATTAAAACGTTTCAGCACCCGTCCTCTACTTAACCATCGGACTTCAGAGTGAAGGAGTAGGTCCCCGTATTGACAGTCAACTTCATCGGCCAAGGTTTTGAATAATCTTCTTTGTAACGCTTGAGCTCTAATCTTGTTCACAATTTTTACCACCAGTTTCATAACGTTGTTTAGTTTCAGGAAATTTCCACATAATGCTTGCTGATGGATAATGCAGTGGTAACAGAGAAATTGCGGAAAAGTTTCATCTTTACGACATAACGCCATCAGACCCTTATCACAACCCACCATAGCTGGAGCGCCATCGGTTGTCAAGCCTACCATTTTCGAAATTGGAATTTTCTCGGAAGAAATAATATTTTTTAAATGAGAAAACAACTCCTGTCCAGTAGTGTGTCCTTTCAGTGGAATAAACTTCAAAAGATCTTTAATCGTAAAATCACTAAAAACCATCCTGACGAACACTGCCATCTGGGCAGTGTCAACGACATCTGTTGATTCATCCAGTTGAAGTGAAAAATAAACACAGTTATCTAAGTCAGTTCTTAATTGTAAAAAATATCATTGCTCATTACTTCTACACGTCTCATCACTGTATTAGCAGAAAGTTGCATAGATTTTATAGCTGAAAATATCTCATCTTTATTTCTAAAGTTGGCAAATAACGAATCAGCAGCTTCTAAAAACGCCTGTTTTATCATTTCCCCGTCTTCATAAGGTTTCTTTTTTTGTGTAATTATCTGGGACACACGGTACGATGCTTCAGTTGCAGCCTTATTTTTGTCGACTGTTTGTCCAATTAACTGCTTTTTTAACTGTTTCAGTTTCTCCTTTCTGGCGGCAGAATGTAGTGGGAATGATTTTTCAAAATTAGAATGTACAGTTTTATGATGTCTCTCAATATTTCCTTTTTTAGCAATGGAGACCGAAGTATTACATAACAAACATAACATTTTTATCTTTAACTTCTGTAGAAAAGTATTGTTCTTCCCATTCCGAATGAAAGTGGTGTGTCTTTACCTTCTTACAACTGCTTGCCATAATATTATTTTTTGTTGTTCTCTACTAACCCAACCGCTGGACGTTGGTTACGCGTTCAGTTTTAAACTAAGCGCAATGTCGCCGCGCCGTGCGTATTTATCCCGTTCAAAGCAATCCTGATCGTTCTCGAACACTAACGCGCTGGTCCGGCTGGTCGGTTCTAGCCGATTCTAGCTTGATGGCGTCAGCGGCAGATCGCTCACCGCAACGTTGTCGCTGTTTATGTTTAATATGACAATTAAATTTTTTTGTGGAATTTTCGGAAGCTTCTTTGATTTTTGCAGTTTGTATTTTTTAAATTAAAATCGTTGTGAGAGCTACCAGAATTGCCTCCGCGAGCTACCGGTAGCTCGCGATCGACAGGTTGGCGACCACTGGTCTAAACCAAACATTTTACAAACAAATTCTAAGAGACAAAAAAGTTTCCAAATAGATGTTGCATTTTAGTAGCGTTCGATTTTTAATAAAATTTTATATTACAAAAAAGTTGAGTAGAGAAAAGGGCGGTGACCCCCTCCAAAATCTTACAAAAATAAAAAAAATTATTGCCTCTACTTCGATTTTGTTAGTCATGGTATTCCAACAAGTCATATAAAATTTCATGAAAAAATGTCAAACGGAGCAACGTTAAAAAAATTCATTTAAATTTTTATCTTATACACTATTTTTGGGTGCACTTTTGTATATAGGTAAGTACGGTTTAATCGACCTATTTTTGACCCAAGAATACGTGTTATAATTTATGACCAATATTTTTGAAACACCCTGTATATTGCAAATGTATATAACATCAATATTTTTTAATAATAACGAAAATAATTTAAAAAATACCTAATGCATTAAAAATTATTACGGTAGTACCTGTTTTTAAAACAAAAACAGCAAATAAAGCTGTATATCTAAGGCCAAGTTCAAGGCCGTAGCCAGGGGGGATCAAGGGGGATTGATCCACCACCGAAATAAAAAAAAAGATATTTATTTATTTTATCGAAAAAATCGTTGAGAAGGTCGTTTATGAACCAATTGTATTTTTTTTAGGAGATATTAACCTTATTACTAGAATACCATCGGGCTTCAGAAGTAAGCATAACTGTGAATCAGCTATTCAGTGTAACTTATGACTGGAAATATTAATTTGATAAAAACTATCTAACGTTGGCAGTTTTATAGATTTCTAAAGGAAATTCAAGACTGTAGATCAAAACAGTTTGATAAAAAAAATATGAGTAATTATTGGAGTGGTGTGTAGAATATCTAAGTAACAAGAAACAAATGTTAAAAGTAAACAACAAATCAGAAGAAATTAACTATATCAAAGGTGTTCCACAGGAAAGTATATTAGGTCCCCTGTTATTTTTAGTTTGTATCAATAACATTGTTAATATCAAGGCTCAATATGACATTTGACATTCACCTGTTTTCTGATGATGCCCTTATATATTTTTTTGGTAAGGATTCAGATGACTTAGTAAAGGTTGTTAATGATACTTTGAAAAATGTTTATAGTGTTGCAATAATTTGTTAAAAATCAACACAAATAAAACAAAATAACTTCACAATTGCAGGAAATTATATACAGTTAGTAGAAAAATTCAAATACTTAGGGGTAATGATTGACAAACATGAAATTCATAGACCGTGCCAACATCGTTATCAAAAGTATTGCATTTGAGTTAAAATTTCCTTTATCAGCACATCCGAGGTAAGGTGTGTTAACTCACCAATTTTACATGTCTCAGGAGAGGCTTTTAAA